CACCAGCAGTCCTACCATCATGTAAAACAATTACAATGGCAGGACGGTAGTACCTACCTCGGTGGTACTACCAACCTACTACCTACAATATGTATATACAGTGGTCCCTCGATAATCGTAGTTCTCGAGAGTTGTAGATTTCGGAAATCATAGCGATATTTTTGTATAAACATGGGCTCGCTAATCATAGATTGACTGGCGAATAGTAGGTCGTCCGGGATGCGTACGCACGGTGTGAGCTGGGGCGGCCTCCCTACCAAGCCAGTGTGGCATTGTTTACCAGTGAGCGAAGGTCCCCTCACGTGCTCCTACGAAATATTTCATAATATTCCACTCATTTTAGTGGTTGCAAGTACTAAATAAGCTACCATGGCTCCAAAGAAAGCTTCTAGTGCCAAGCCTTTGGTAAAGAAGGTGAGAAATACGATTGAATTTAAGAAAAACATCATTGAACAATATGAAAGTGTCACAAGTGCGGCCGAACTGGCCAGGATGTACAACAAACCCTACAAAACCATATGTTCCATCATGGCCAAGAAAAAGGAAATCAAGGATGCTGTTGTTGGAAACGGGGTAAATATGCTGACAAAAATGAGATCACCAGTACTCGAAGAGGTTGAGAAGTTATTATTGGTGTGGATAAACAAGAAACAATTAGCAGGAGATAGTATTATGACGTCGATTATTTGTGAAAAGGCTAGGCAGTTGCACGACGATCTGGTAAAGAAATTGCCTGCAAATAGTGGTGATGTGAGTGAATTTAAGGCCAGCAAAGGTTGGTTTGAGAGATTTAACCCTTTGACTGTTTTCGACGTATAAATACGTCTTACGAGCCAATGTTTCTGACGTATATATACTCAATAATTCTAGCGGCTTCAAATCAAGCGGGAGAAAGCTGGTAGGCCCACATGTGAGAGACTGGGTCTGTGTGGTCAGTGTGCACCACATAAAAAAAATCCTGCAGCACACATTGCGTAATGAGAAAAAAAAAACTGATCGTTTTTTTGGAATAAAACGCCGACTTTGAGGTTTATTTTCGTATAGTATTTATCGTTGTATTCGCGTTTTCATGGTCTTATGTGATAAAATGGAAAACATATTACAGAAATAGAGATGATTTTCATTACTTTGACGATGAAAACGACCTTGAAACTGAGCTCAAAGTAGCGGAAATGTTCGATTTTTACCAATGTTCAGGAGTAAATAAATCACACCACACGTCCAATACACGTCAACTGGGGAGTCTTGTATTCTTTCACTAGTGCACTGATATTATTTATACCATTTTTACAATAATGCAGTAGTCTGCATAACAGTAAGTTTTGTATTTTTTTGTATGAATAAAAAATAAAAATAGAAAGCAATAATAATATAAGAGGGGCCTAGAGATGTGACTAATGAACGAGCATATGTTATTTTAGTGCCACAAATGTCTACCTTGTTTATTCTGGACCCTATTTTGAAATTGGCATCTTTTTTAGTTTGCGTGAAATTGGCCAAATTGCCAATTTCTGACCACCATATTGGGTAGTCCAAATTAGTAAATGGGAGGTTTCTTTATCAGCGATAGATAAAATGGTTTTTAAAAAAAATGCTATGATTTGGTCAACTGGAACAAGGAAGGGGCTAAAAATAGGGCCAAAGTCGGCGAAATCCCCGTTTTCGCTTATGTCGCCGAGACGCTAACTTCGGGGAGTTTAAATTTCCCAGGGTTTTTTGCCCAAAATTTTAAAATTTTGGGTGTCATTACCATGGGGGGAAAAAAGATTCTTTAATTTTAAGAAAAAAAATTTTTTTTTTTTTTCAAAAATTGAGCGCTAGAATGATTTTTCAGAGAGCGGCCGAAAAGTCAAAGGGTTAAGAACCGTGTGGAAACACGTGTGGAAGGCATGGTGGGGCTGTCAGTTGGCCCAAAAAGCGGTTGAAAAAATAAAAAATTCCTTTAATAAAGGAATTATACACATCATGCAATCCTAGGTACCTTTCCCCCTTTTTATATTTTTATCTGGGTTTCTGGAGTTTATTGGAGGATTTCGGGGGTCAACGCCCCCGGGGCCCGGTCTGTGACCAGGCCTCCCTTTGGTCAGTGTCCCCGTGGGGCCCCCACCAGTCGATAACACCAGGTACCATTTTATATGGGGGGAAAAATAGAAACGGTGGGAAAAAAAAAAACGTCCCAAAGTTTCTATCTGGCGGGAATCGAACCCAGGCCCTCACCCTGTGAAACGAGAGCGTTAACCCCCAGGCCCCCCAGAGCCCTTTTATTAACCCCTTTGACTGTCGCGGCCGTATATAACATCTTTCGAGGTACCGTGTTTTACATATATATATCTAAATTCTGCGGCTTCAAATCAAACAGGGAAAGTGGGTAGGCCCACTGTGAGAGAATGGGGCTGTGGGTCAGTTGCACCACATAAAAAAAAATCCTGGAGCCGCAGGCAAATGAGAAAAAAAAAATCGACCGTTTTTTTTTTTAAATTTTTAAGCCGATTTTGTGGTTATTTTTTGTATAGTTTTTATGGTTGTATTCTCGTTTTTGGGCTCTTTTAAGAATGGAAAAAAACCTTATAGAAATAGAGGTGACTTTGATTGATTTTACTATAAAAAGAACCTGAAAATGGAGCTCAAAGTAGGGGAAATGTTTGATTTTTGCCAATGTTCAAAAGTAAACAAATGATGTCATTGTCCAATAAATGTCCAACTAGCCATTCTAATATGCAATCATGAATGGGTTGATGTTATTTATACAATTATTACAGTATTGCAGTAGTCTGCATAATAGTAAGTCTTATATTTTTTGTTTGAATAAAAATTCAAAATAGAAAGCAAGAGTAATATCAGAGGGGCCTGGAGACATGACTGATGAACAAAGAAAATGTTATTTTAGAGCCAGGAATGTCTGCATTGTTCATTCTGGACCTTATTTTGAAATTGTCATATTTTTTAATTTTTATGAAATTGGCCAAATTGCAAATTTCTGACCACATTATTGGGTAGTTGAAATCAGTAAATGGGCAGTTTCTTGTACTCAATCGATAGAAATGGAGTTCTAAAGAAATAGCTATGAGTTTGGTCGACTGAAACAATGGAATTAGCCGAAAATAGGGCTCAAAGTGGGCGAAATCGCCAATTTGTAAATATCGCCGAGGTTGCTAACTTCACGAGAGCATAATTCCGTCAGTTTTCCATCAAATTTCGTTTTTTTGGTGTCATTACAATCGGGAAAAGATTCTCTATGATTTCATAAAAATAAATATTTTTTTTTTTAAATTTTGCGACACCAGGAGACACCTCAGGATTGGGAGTTGCGACAGTCAAGGGGTTAAAGAAAAATATCAACCACTCCAATACTATATCTCCCCTTGCTTTTAACATTTCTGTCACAATCCCGTCAGTTTCGAGCTGCTTTACCCCCTTTCAGTCTTTGTAATGCCTCGTGCGTCTCCCCCACACTCACGTCCTGCTCTCCTTTACTCCTAAAAGATTTTATACTTCTCTGGCCAGTGCATGAAATTACTGGCTCCTTTTCATCATATTGACATTTAAAAGTTCCTCAAAATATTCTGGCCATCTACCCAATACCTACCCATCATCTTTTTATCTACCAAGACATAATCTAACAAACTACTTTCATTACGTGCTATATCACATCTTGTATACTTATTTATCCTCTTTTTCATAAAATATGTATTACTTATTACCAGACCTCTTTCTACACATAGTTCAATTAAAGGATTCCCATTTTCATTTACCTCTGGCACCCCAAATTTTCCTGCTACTCCCTCTACAACATTTTTACTCACTTTAGCATTGAGATCCCCAACCACAAGTACTCTCTCACTTGGTTCAAAACTCCCCACGCACTCACTCAATATTTTCCAAAATATCTCTTCTATACACTTCTATCTTCTCCAGGTGCATAAACACTTATTATAATCCACTTTTCACATCCAACCCTTATTTTATTCCACATAATCCTTGAATTTATGTGTTTATATTCCTCCTTTTCCTGCCATAAGTTATTCTTCAACATTATTGTTACTCCTTCCATAACTCTAATTCTGTTAGAAACCCCTGACTTAATCCCATTTATTTGTTCCCACTGAAACTCTCCTACCCCCTTCAGCTTTGTTTCCTTTAGAGCCAGGACATCCAGCTTCTTTTCATTCATAACATCCATACTCATCTTATTCTTATCATTTGCACTTCATCCACATATATTCAAACATTCCACTTTGATGGTTTTCTTCTTTTTCTTTTTAGTAAGCTATACGGAAAAGGGGTTACTAGCCCATTGCTTCCAGGATTTTAGTTGACTTTTATAACATGCATGGTTTACAGAGGAAAGATTCTTACTCCACTTCCCCATGGATATAAAAGGAAACGTAATAAGAACAAGAACTTTTCTTCTGCTTTCAACAAACCGGCCGTATCCCACCAAGGCAGGGTGGCCCAAAAAGAAAAATGAAAGTTTTTCTTTTTAAATTTAGTAATTTATTCAGGAGAAAGGGTTACTAACCCCCTTGCTCTCGGCATTTTAGTCGCCTCTTACAACATGCATGGCTTACGGAGGAAGAATTCTGTTCCACTTCCCCATGGAGATAAGAGGAAATAAACAAGAATAAGAACTAGAAAGAAAATAGAAGAAAACCCAGAGGGGTATATATATATATATGCTTATACATGTATATGCATGTGTAGTGTGACCTAAGTGTAAGTAGAAGTAGCAAGACGTACCTGAAATCTTGCATTTTCATGAAACAGAAAAAAGACACCAGCAATCCTAGCATCATGTAAAACAAATACAGGCTTCCGTTGTACACTCACTTGGCAGTATGGTAGTACCTCCCTGCATGATTGCTGTCTACTAACCTACTACTATATGTTACTATTTATATTACTATTATATTTACTATTATATTTATATTACTATTATTTGCTCTGTTGTTTTATAGCCCATCTTTACAAATAAGTCACCTGTTTTCACCTATTTTCTGCAGGTTTATAATATAATCTCGCCTGAACAAGAGAAAGATGGAAATGCACGTTCCCGATACAATGGCAGGCTGTTCCTTTCTTGGCTGCAAGATGTGGATGATAAGTGGGATAAAATCAAGGTATGAATTTTCATTTTAATAAGGTGCAACTGCAGAAAGAATGAGAATAAATAAGCCATATAAAGTACCCCAAAAGTCATTCAGCAGTGGAAAATACAACATTCAGATTCTGGCAGCAGTCTTCTGTTTTTAATTGTTTTAAGTACATGTACCTGTACTGTATTTTATACAATTCTATAAGATATTTTTTAACGCCCACTGAGGTAGGGTGACCTGAAAGGGAAGACATAATTTCACCATCACTCTATCACTGTCTTGCCAGAGATGCGCTGATACTATAGTTCAGATGTCCCTTCAAATTGCCAGTATCCCCACCCTTCTTTCAGAGTGCAGGCATTGTACTTTCCACCTCCAGGACTTCTGTCTGGCTAACTGGTTTCCCTATATCCCTTCATAAATGTTACCTTGCTCACATATGAGTGTTGGTACCACTATATTCTCATACATTTATCTTTTTGTTTCCATGGATAACTTTCCTTGTCTCTATATTCAGATGTTTCAGTGTACCACCCACCATTTTTCAATCATCAGTCCAATGGTTCACCTTGTTTTTATATGGACCCATTTGCCGACAGGTTCACTCCGAAATATCGGAATACATTTATGCACTTCCTCCATACTCCCTCCTTCCAATCTGATATCCAGTCTTCTATTACCTAAATTGTTTATTACCCTTATCACTTTGGTCTTTCCTGTGTTCACTTTTAATTTCCTCTGACGTTCCCTCCCAGTTTCGTGCACCAACCTTTGCAACTTCTCTTCAAACCTCCCAAAGCACAGTGTCACTGGCAAAAAAACAACAGTGACAACTCCCACTTTGTATTAGATTCAACATATTTTAATCTCACACCTCGTCCCAACATCTCAGCAGACTTCTTTTAAAACCCCCATCTATAAATATGTTTAACAACACATCTGTGTCTAAGGCCTACCTTTACTGGAAAACAGTCTCTTTCCTACATACCCTAACTTGAGGCTCACTTTTTTTTATTAACCCTTTGAGGGTCTGTGCAGTAGTTCTATGGCTTTGAAACCAGGGTCTGTGCCATAGTATTACTTCATGAGCTCAGCTCATTCAGATAAGCTGTGAGCGGTAAATTTGGGCCTAGATGTGAGAGAATGCATCTGTGTGGTAAGTGTGCACCATGTAAAACAAATCCTGTAGCATGCAGTGCAAAATGAGAAAAAAAAGCAACCATGTTTCTGGATTAAAACAGCGAATTTGCGGTGTATGTTTATGTGGTTTTTAGGTTGTATTCATGGTTGCTTGGTCCCATTTCATCAAATGAAAGATATTATACAGAAATAGAGATGATTTTGATTGGTTTTAGTACTGAAAATTACTTGAAATTGAGCTGAAAGTAGTGGAAATGTTAATTTTTTGCCAGTGTTCGAGTAAACAAATCACATCACGCATCCAATACACGTCAACTTGTGGGTCTGTTGTGCATTCATGAATGTGCTGATATTATTTATACAATTATTACAATATTGCATAACAATAAATCTTGTTTTTTGTTGTAAATAAAAATTGTGTGAATAAAAAATCAAGATGGAATTCATCTGTAAAGCCTGGAAACGTAACTGATAAACAGAATAAACAATGCCTGCATTGTTTATTCTGGATCCTATTTTGAAATGGAATATTTTGAACTTTGTGTGAAACTGGCCAGATTACCAATTTCTGATCACTTTATTGGGTAGTTGAAATAGTTGATTGGGCAGTTTCTTGTGATCAATAGATAACATGGAACACAGACTACAAAATAGCTAAAAATGTGGTCTAATGGAATAATGTAATTGGCTGAAAATAGGACTCAAAGTGGTCAAAATCGCCAGTGCGGAAATGTGATTCTCTAGCATTTCATAATTTTTTTTTCTTTTTTTGAAAATTCTTTGACCCTGTGGGGAATTTTCAGATTGGGGTTAATATACTGGTAGTCTTCCACTGAGGCAGGGTGACTGAAAAATTTTTTTCACCGTCATTCACACTCGCTGTAATGCCAGAGGCAATGAGACGTCATTCTAAACAGTAGATATCCCAAATCCCTCCTTTAGAGTGCAGGCACTGTACTTCCCACCTCCAGGACTCTTAAGTCTGGCTAACCGGTTTCTCTGAATCAGTTCACAAAATATTACCCTGCTCACACACTATTGCTTCAATAATCTGCCATCTATTCTATACACTTGCAGCATCTGCTGCATTGCTTCCATATCCACCCTGTCTTATGCATTTTCTAAATCCATGAATGCAACAAAAACTTTCTTACTTTTAAATATTGTTCACGTATATGCATCAGTCTAGGTAGTAGGTTGGTAGACAGCAACCCCCCAGGGAGGTACTACCGTCCTGCCAAGTGAGTGTAACACGAAAGCCTGTAATTGTTTTACATGATGGTAGGATTGCTGGTGTCCTTTTTTCTGTCTCATGAACATGCAAAATTTCAGGTACGTCTTGCTACTTCTACTTACACTCAGGTCACACTACACATACATGTACAAGCGTATATATACATACCCCTCTGGGTTTTCTTCGATTTTCTTTCTAGTTCTTGTTCTTGTTTATTTCCTCTTATCTCCATGGGGAAGTGGAACAGAATTCTTCCTCCGTAAGCCATGCGTGTTGTAAGAGGCGACTAAAATGCCGGGAGCAAGGGGCTAGTAACCCCTTCTCCTGTATATATTACTAAATTTGAAAGGAGAAACTTTGGTTTTTTCTTTTAGGCCACCCTGCCTCGGTGGGATACGGCCGGTGTGTTGAAAGAAAGAAAGAATATGCATCAGTGTAAACACTTGGTCTACACATCCCCTACCCTTCCTAAAGCTTCCTTATGTTCTGTGAGTTTTCCTGCTCTCTGTCTTACCCTTAAGCCTTTCAGTGATTACTACCATACACCTTACCTGGTATACTTAACAGGCTTATTTCCCTATAATTTTTATACTCATTTGTCCCCCTTCCCTTTATACAAAGGAACTATTTTTTAACACACTATTCCCCCCTCCATCCCTCAACAAACCGGCTGTATCCCACCAAGGCAGGGTGACCTGAAAAATAGTTTTTTTTTTTAATTTGGTAATTTATGCAGGATAAAGGGTTACAAGCCTTATGCTCCTGACATTTTAGTCACCTCTTACGACACACATGGCTTATAGAGGAAGCATTCTTCTCCAGTTCCCCATGGAAGGAAATTATGCATATAATAGCAATGGGCTAGTAATGCCTTCTGTATAAACTACTGAAAACGAGAAAAAGAAAATTTTATAAAACTGGGATGTTTGAATGTGCGTGGATGTAGTGCAGATGATAAGAAAGAAATGATTGCTAATGTTATGAATGAAAAGATGTTGGATGGCCTAGGTCTAAGTAAAACAAAACTGTAGGGGGTAGGGGAGTTTCAGTGGGAGAGATAAATGGGATTAAGTCAAAAGTATCTGAGAGAGTTAGAGCTAAGGAAGGGGTAGCAATAATATTGAAGGATCACTTATGGAAAGAAAACAGGGAATATAAATATATAAATTCAAGGATTATATGGAGGAGTATATGGAGAGAAAAAGAGAGGTGAAGCAATGTAAAAAGAGAACAAATAAGAGAGTGGGTGAGATGTTATCTACAAATTTTGTTCAACAAACATTTTAGAGAGATTAATAAGTTGAGAAAACCTAGGGAATGAATGGATTTGATAGTTAAAAATAGGAGAGGAGAGTTATTAAAGGTCATTAGAGGTATTGGGAAGATGGAGGGAATATTTTGAGGATCTGTTAACCCTTTCAGGGTTGCCAGGCCCTCTCCGAGACTTGTTCTCAGGGTCGCCAAATTTAAAAAAATAAAATTATTTTTTCTTATGAAAAGATGGAGAATCTTTTCCCGATCATAAAGACACCAAAAGTATGAAATTTGATGGAAAAATTACGGAATTATGCTCTTGCGAAGTTAGCAGTTTTGACGATGTTTATGCATCAGCAATTTTGCCCACTTCGAGCCCTATTTTCGGCCAATTCCAGTGTACTAGTCGACAGAAATCATAACTATTTCGCTAAACTCCATTTTTTCTATCGAATGAGTACAAGAAACCACCCATTTACCGATTTCAACTATCCAATAAAGTGGTCAGAATTTAGCAATTTTGCCAATTTCACACAAATTTCAAAAGATGCCAATTTCCGAATAGGGTCCAGAATAAACAAGAAAGACATTCCTGGTACTAAAATAGCATTTCCTGTGTTCATTAGTCACATCCCCACGCCCCTCTTACATTCTTTTGTTTTCCACTTTGAATTTTTATTCTCACACAAAATAGAAGATTTTCTGTTATACAGACTACTGCATTAGTGTAGAAATGGTATAAATAATATCAGCGCACTTGTAAAAGAATATTAGACTCACCAGTTGACGTGTATTGGACGCATAGCATGATTTGTTTACTTTTGAACTTTGGTAAAAATCGAACATTTCTGCTACTTTGAGCTCAATTTCAAGGTACTTTTCATTGTAAAACCAGTCAAAATCATCTCAATTTCTGTAATATGTCTTCCATTCTATAAAATGAGACCAGGAAAACTGGAATACAACAATAAATACCATACGAAAATACAGTGCAAAGTCGCTGTTTTAATCCAAAAACAAAGTTTTTTTTCTCATTACGCACTGTGTGCTGCAGGATTTTTTTTATACTGCGCACACTGACCATATAGACACATTCTTTCATATGTAGACCTACCAGCTTTCTCTCACTAGATTTGAGGGCGCTAAAATTTAGGCATACTAGTACGTCAAAAACCCTGGTGCGTAAGCCGTACTAGTACATCCGAAACCCTGAAAGGGTTAAATGATGATGAAGATAGGGAAGCTATGATTTCGTGTATAGGGCAAGAAGGAATAACATCTTGTAGGAACAAGGAAGAACCAGTTGTGAATGTGGGGGGAAGTGCGTGAAGCAGTGGGTACAATGAAAGGGGGTAAAGCAGCTGGGATAAAGATAGAAATGTTAAAGGGGGTGGGGATATAGTTTTGGAGTGGTTAGTGATTTTGTTTAATAAATGTATGGAAAAGGGTAAGGTACCTAGAGATTGGCAGAGAGCATACATAGTTCCTTTGTATAAAGGCAAAGGGGACTAAACATAAGAAACATAAGAAAAAAGGAACACTGCAACAGGCCTACTGGCCTATGCGAGGCAGCTCCAATAAAGAGAGTGTAAAAATTATAGAGGAATAAGTCTGTTGAGTATACCGGGTAAAGTGTATGGTAGAGTTATTATTGAAAGAATTAAGAGTAAGATGGAGAGTAGGATAGCAGATGAACAAGAAGGCTTTGGGAAGGGTAGGGGGGTGTAGACCAAGTGTTTACAGTGAAACATATGGGTGAACAGTATTTTCATAAGGGTAAAGAGGTTTTTGTGGCATTTATGGATTTGGCAAAGGCTTATAATAGGGTGGATAGGGGGGGCAATGTGGCAGATGTTGCAAGTATATGGAATAGGAGGTAGGTTATTGAAAGCAATGAAGAATTTTTACGAGGATAGTGAGGCTCAGGTTCGAGTATGTAGGAGAGAGGGAGATTATTTCCCAGTAAAGTAGGGCTTAGACAGGGATGTGTGATGCCACCATGGTTGTTCAATATATTTGTAGATGGAGTTGTAAGAGAGGTGAATGCACAGGTGTTGGCAAGAGGTGTGGGGTCAAAAGATAGAGACTAACACAAAGTGGGAGTTGTCAAGTTGCTCTTTGCTGATGACACTGTGCTTTTGGGAGATTTTGAAGAGAAGTTGCAGAGGTTGGTGGATGAGTTTGGTAGGGTGTGTAAAAGAAGGAAATTAAAAGTGAATATAGGAAAGAGTAAGGTGGTGATAACAAAAAAATTAGGTAACAAAAGATTGGATATCAGATTGGGGCGAGAGAGTATGGAGGAAGTGAATGTGTTCAGATATTTGGGAGTGGACGTGTCAGCAGATGGGTCTATGAAAGATGAGGTGAATCATAGAATTGACGCTGGGAAAACAATGAGTGGCACTGTGGAGACAAAGAACTTTATCCACGGAAGCAAAGAGGAAAATGTACGAGAGTATAGTTATACCAACACCGTCATATGGGTGTGAAGCATGGGTAGTGAATGTTGCAACAAGAAGGCTGGAGGCAGTGGAGATGTCATGTCTGAGGGCAATGTGTGGTGTGAATATAATGCAGAAATTCATAGTTTGGAGGTTAGGTGGTGATGCAGAATTACCAAAACCATTATCTAGAGGGCTGAGGAGGGGGGGGGGTTATTAAGGTGGTTTGGACATGTAGAGAGAATGGAACGAAATAGAATGACTTCAAGATTGTATAAATCTGTAGTGGAGGGAAGCCGGGAGGGGGTAAAGGAGATTTTGTGTGTGAGGGGCTTGAACTTCCAGCGAGCATGTTTGAGCATGTTAGGAGTGAATGGAGACAAATTGTTTTTAGGACTTGACATGCTGTTGGAGTGTGAGCAGGGTAACATTTATGAAGGGATTCAGGATAGCCGGTAGGCTGGACTAGAGTCCTGGTGCCTGCACTCTGATGGAGGGGTGTTAATGTTGCAGTTTTATAACTAGTGTGAGTGTGCATCTGGCAAGACAGAGATGAGTGAATGATGATGAAAGTTTTTCTTTTTTGGGCCATCCTGCCTTGGGTGGGAAATGGCCAATGTGTTAATAAATAATTAATAAAAAAATATAAATATCACAATAGATATGCATAGTGATAAAAGCATTTGAACAGTACTATTAGCTATAATACACAAACTATGACTTAACCCCTTTAAACACATCTAAGTAAGTACAGTGGACCCTCAGGTAAAGGCTTCAACAGTTAGTGCCAAAATCGGCTAACGGCTCGCTTTGGTGTAAAAATATTGGCTCGGCTAGCTCCAAATAACTCGGCTAAGGGCTTTTGTCCTGAACGTATCTGCGTGGCCTGAGCGGGCCCGGCCACTCCATCACTCCGTGTGCAGCCAGTGTGCCATTGTTTACAAAGTCAGTGAGGACGATTCCACGAGTACATGCGATATATTTTGTATTATTCCATTGTTTTAGTCCTTGTAACTGCTAAATAAGCCACCAAGGGCCCCAAGAAAGCTTCTAGTGCCAACCCTGTGGTAAAAAGGGCGAGGTGTAGTATCGAATTAAAGAAAGAGATAATTGCAAAGTACGAGAGTGTGGTGCGTATCTTGGAGTTGGAAAGGTTATATAACAAACCCCATTCAACCATCACTACTATCTTGGCCAACAAAAAGGCAATCAAGGAAGCTGTTGTTGCAAAAGGTGCAAGTATGCTTACAAAACAGAGATCACAAATACTCGAAGATGTGGAGAGACTGTTGTTGGTATGGATAAACGAGAAACAATTATCAGGAGATGGTGTTTCTCAGTCAATATGTGAAAAGGCAAGGCAGTTGCATGTGGATCTCATTAAGAAAATGCCTCCAAACAGTGCTGGTATTGATGAATTTAAGGCCAGCAAAGGCTGGTTTGAGAGATTTAAGAATCGTAGTGGCATACACAGTGTGATAAGGCATGGTGAGGCTGCCAGTTATAACAAAAAAGCGACTGAAAAATATATACAGGACTTTAAGGAATACATAGACACTGAAAAATTAAAACCCCAACAAGTGTTCATTTGTGACGAAACAGGCCTGTCTTGGAAGAAAATGCCAAACAGGACCTACATTACTCAGGAGGAAAAGGCACTCCCAAGACACAAGCCTATGACAGACAGGCTAACTCTAATGTTTTGCAGTAATGCTAGTGGGGATTGCAAAGTGAAGCCTTTACTCGTGTATCACTCTGAAACTCCCAGAGTGTTCAAGAAAAACAATGTCGTCAAGACTAAATTGTGTGTGATGTGGAGAGCAGACAGTAAGGCATGGGTCACTAGGGACATTTTCCTGGACTGGTTCTATGACGTGTTTGGCCCCACTGTGAAAAAGTACCTCCTGGAAAATAAATTGTCACTCAAGTGCCTCCTGGTAATGGACAATGCTCCTGCTCATCCTCACCACTTACAACAGCAAATTGCGAGGGAGTTGAGCTTTATCAAAGTGAAATTTTTGTCTCTTAATACCACTCCTCTCCTCCAGCCCATGGACCAGCAGGTCATTTCAAACTTCAAAAAACTGTACACCAAAGCAGTGCTTCAAAAGTGCTTTGAAGTGACCTCAGACACTGACTTGACACTAAGAGAGTTCTGGAAAGATCACTTCAGTATCCTCAGTTGCATGAACCTTATAGGTAAGGCTTGGGAGGTAGTGACTTGTAGGACTTTGAACTCTGCTTAGAGAAAATTGTGGCCACAGTGTGTACAAGAGAGGGATTTTGAAGGATTTGGGGCTAACCCTCAGGAGACTATGCCAGTTGTAGAATCTATTGTGGCATTGGGGAAGCCCATGGGGTTGGAGGTTAGTGGCGAGGCTTTGGAAGCGTTGGTGGAGGACGACAATGAAGAGCTAACCACTGCAGAGTTGCAAGAGCTTCAGGTGCGACAGCAACAGATCACAGCTCAGGAATGTGCTTCAGAGGAGGAGGAAGAGAGACGGAGGAAGTTGCCTTCATCAAAGATTAAGGAAATGTGTACAATGTGGACAAAGTTGCAAGCATTTATGGATGAATATTATCCTGACACAGCTATTGCAAGCCATATTGGCAACATGTACAATGAGACTCTTGTGTTGAGTTTTAGGGAAATCTTAAAGGGACGCGAGAAACAGCTCTCTGGACAAACATTTTGTGCGACAGGGATCCAGTGACTCTGAAGTTGTTCTCAGTGGCATTAAAAAAACAAGAAGGGAGGTAATCTCAGAAAAGGCCTTATTACCTAAAGTCTTTATGGAAGGGGATTCCCCTTCCAAACACTAGAACACCTTCATCCTCTCCCTCCTCCCGTCTCATCACTCGTCAACAAGTCCACAATAAAGGTAAGTGTTATTTCAGTATTGTTTATTGTGCATGTATCATTTTTTCTGTGTAGGGAAATGTATATTTCATGTAAAAAAAAATGATTTTGTTTAATACTTTTGGGTGTCTGGAACTGATTAATTGGATTTCCATTATTTCTTATGGGGAAAATTAATTTGGCTAAGTGCTAGCTCTCTGGAATGGATTAAAGTCATTACCTGAGGGTTCACTGTATACAATTAATCAGACAAGTAGGTTTGCTAGTACCTGTGTCCTCCATCATGTGTACAGTAAATAAAACAGAGACGTCATCTCAGAACACAAACTCTCTCTCACATATTTAGACAACCATTCATAGGCCTATTACCTTGTCATGATATTGTGAAATGGAAACCTGTTAAACGTTATGCTCTCTTGCAGGATTGCAGATTTGTTTTGTCTCCTGGATTTATAACTTTTGAGCACTTTGTGCCCATGTGGATAGAGAAAATTGAGTTTCCATGCAAAATTTTATGTTCTCAAGTAACAAGAGATATGGGAACAAAGTGGCATACATTTTGGAGTCAGTGCTTATATTATAGCGTTCTCAGATAGTTGTCATTTGTACTTAAACATATTTGATGTCTTTTCAGGAATTTATGGTTCTACGTCACCACAATGAAGCTGAGTCGCTTCATGCAGTCCAGCGAATGGATTGGGAATGGAAACTAAAGGAACTGGGAGACTGTGATGCAAATTCCCGACCACACATAGACGATCTGCATGTGCCCATGGTACATGTTTCTGATGATTTTGATCTTCTTCCAGAATGAAAAATTGACTTGTCAAAGTTATTTGGTCAGCATTGTATGTCTTTATGATGCATTCTTATGCATTTATGATTAATGATAACCTAGTAGTCATGCTCAAGCATAGGCAAGATGCAACCTTCAAGGAGAGGTTTGTAAGAGTCAAGATAATCTCTGGCTGTGATATTTGTAAGAAGGTTTTGTATATGCATGTATGTATTTTTTTTTTTTCAACACGTCGACCGTCTCACCAAACCAGGGTGACCCAAAAAAGAAACACTTTCATCATCATTCAACACTTGCACCATCATTCACAAATAATCACTGTCTTTGCAGAGGTGCCCAGATATATCAGTTTAGATGTCACTCCAAACAGCCAATATCCCAAACCCCTCCTCCAAAGTGCAGGCATTATACTTTCCACATCCAGGACTCTTAAGTCCAGCAAACTGGTTTCCCTGAGTCCCTTCACGAAATATTACCCTGGGGAATCAAGTACAAAATAGGAGTTGACACAGTTACTTTTTGCTGATGATACTGTGCTTATGGGAGATTCTAAAGTTGCAAAGGATAGTGGACGAGTTTGGGAGGGTGTGTAAAGGTAGAAAGTTGAAAGTGAACATAGATAAGAGTAAGGTGATGAGGATATCAAATGATTTAGATAAAGATAAATTGGATATCACATTGGAGAGAGGGAGTATGGAAGAAGTGAATGTTTTCAGATATTTTGGAGTTGATTTGTCAGTGGATGGATTTATGGAAGATGAGGTTAATCATAGAATTGAGGAAAAAAAGTGAGTCATGCGTTGAGGTATCTGTGGAGACAAAAAACGTTATCTATGGAGACGAAGAAGGGAATGTATGAAAGTATAGTGGTACCAACACTCTTATATGGGTGTGAAGCTTAGGTTGTAAATGCTGCAGCGAGGAGGTGGCTGGAGGCAGTGGAGATGTTCTGTCTCTAGGCAATGTGTGGTGTAAATATTATGCAGAGAATTCATAGTGTGGAAATTAGGAGGAGGCGTAGATTACTAAAAGTATTAGTTAGAGAGCTGAAGAGGAGTTGTTTAGGTGATTTGATCATTTAGAGAGAATGGATCAAAGTAGAATGACTTGGAGAGCATATAAATCTGTATTGGAAGGAAGGAGGGGTAGGGGTCGTCCTTGAGAAGGTTGGTGGGAGGCGGTAAAGGAGGTTTTGTGGGCGAGGAGCTTGGACTTCCAGCAAGCGGTTGTGAGCATGTTAGATAGGAATAAATGGAGACAAATGGTTTTTGGGACTTGACAAGCTGTTGGAGTGTGAGCAGCGTAATATTAGTGAAGGGATTCAAGGAAACCAGCTATTATAGATTTAGCCGGACTTGAGTCCTGGAAATGGGAAGTACAATGCCTGCACTTTAAAGGAGTGGTCTGGGATATTGACAGTTTGGAGGGACTTCTAAACTGCCGTATCCGAGTGCCTCTGCAAAGACACTGATCATGTATGAGTGAGGTGTAAGTATTGAATGATGATGAAAGTATTTTCTTTTTGGGGGTATTCTTTATTTTTGGGTCACTCTGCCTTGGTGGTTAAAAAAAAAAAAAAATACATGCGTACATATAGAGTATATTAAAATCCTTGTTCAGTGGTGGTAAAAAAAAAAAAACAGAATTTAAGAAGCCCAGTTCTAGTTCAAATTTTACTTAAGTTGCCTTGTTATTATATGAACTTTGTGTTGTGAAGTTATACAGTAAAAGTCCGATAAAACGGAATGATAGGGGAGGGTGATATCCGATTTACCCAAAGTTTCGTTTTAATTACTAAGTTAAGCGGACATTGTCCACTATGTCTCCCGTATATGGTCAAGCATAAAGTAAAACAGATTTATTCTGCAGTATTGCCGACTCAAACCAGACATACGAAGACAAAACTAATGCAAGCAGCCTTTGGTCCCCTCTCTCACTTTCACTGGAAATATTGAGTCTGCCAGCTAAGTGAGGGGGAGGGAGGCAGCATAGCATACATGTACTAGATGCAGGTGATAGTCACTCACTATACATCTTCCAGACCTGGTAGACTTATGACAGAGAATGTAAATGTGAAGTCTACTACTATTTATCAAGTCAAGCCAGTTAGCTAGCTATCAGGCTAGCTGTCTGTGAACCTGCCTGCTTGCTTACATGCTTGCTCTTCCTTGCCCTACCTGCCCTGTCTGCACTTCTTGTAAACAATTATTTGTCTCAACATAATTTCCAGTTGGACACAAAATGCTTGTCTCTACCACCCCAATGATAATAGACAGGTCCTGGACAAAGCCTAGACCATACAAACTCGTGATTAAGAGGAGTTGGTCCATTTTGAGCATAGGACTGAACTTGATAGTGGTTTAAAATTGCAGATGTGGTTCATTGCATCCTTACTTTAATTGGACATCTCATTAAACATACATGTTGAGCCTTTGTAGGGTCACATTTTTATCTGACATCCGCTTAATGGGGTCCGTTTTATTTTATTTTACTGTAGACTGATAACAATCTGTGTTTTTCTTTTCAGTCTTCGCTCTTCCTTGACATCGTAGGTTAAAGATGTTTGTTAAATATTTAGGACTGAAAAAGGTCTGTAATTTCTGTGATATAAAATTGACTTTCATTGTATCTAGGACATACTCAAGGTTATTGGTACAGCCCAAGTTGGGGTTTGTATTACCTCTGCAAATAAAAAACGTGTTTCAGTGCAGTTCTTTACTTGAAAATTGTTTCAAATGTACAGTATGTTTAAAGTGAGCCAAAATTTCTAGATCATCTTGTGTTTGAATGCGACTGTGCACTAGGTGTGTAGTTGAAGCTTAATGCATTGGCACTGCCAGTAGACCTGGTACAGTAGGCATGTAATCTACTTGCTAAATGTATATGATATAAATTATCTGGAAAATTATGTTGTAATACGTTATATTTGAATTTTTAATTGTGTTTTAATTGGAATAGACTGTATATTGTGTGATATATGAAGTGAAAGCTTGATGAATGTTGTGGTAATGTTTATTGTGAAGTTAATCCTGATTAGTTCAGTAAAGAAACTTGTCAGTAACAATAAGTATCTTATAAGACTGTTACTTGCTCAATTTATATTAGTCTATGCTAAAGCATCATAACAAAGTAAAGGAAACCTGATATATGTATATGTGTGTGTATGCAGTATAATTACAAACAGGCGATCTTAATGTAGAACAAGCCGCGTGAGACTGGAAATCTTTAGTTCTAGATTAACTTTCCCATTCTTGTGCATTGTCAGGAGCTATGTAGTGTTGCAAGACAGCAACAGATAGGAGGGGAAATTCTCTGGGGCAAGGTAGAAGGTAAGCTGACAATGCACGAGTGTGTGAAAGTTCTAAAGATTTCTATTCCCATACGGTTTTTTTTGCACGTGTGTGTGCATGTGCATGCATGTGTGTGTGCATGAGCATGCGTGCACGTGCATACTCGTGTGCATACTTGCATATACACACCACAGACCATGTGTTGAACATTTTTAACACGGTAAATTCATTCTAAGTCACCCAATTAAAAATATAATTTATCATGTTTTTTCTTTTGCTGTGGCAGTAATTACTAGAACACCAAATGTAAAGAAACTCACTGGATACCAATTTTAATCTTTCTTAGTAAAATTTTTCTACTGGTGGGTGACCTTAACCCTTTCAAGGTCCGTCCTGTAGATCTACGTCTTTGAAGCCAGGGTCCAAGTGCACAGTTTACTGTCCAGTGTGCACAGTAAACAAAAAATTGGGGCACCTGTATTGCATTGTGGGAACGCCATCTCAGTATGCTTTGTTCATCATGCCTGGCGGCAAGGAAGCTCTCGCTCCCCGGTGAACTGGGACTCTCTTCCCATGAAATAGTTCTAACACTGTACCATATGGTACAATGGTACCATAAATAACACTGAAGGATCTGAAGAGGAATTTTGTGGTTTTGAACCATATGGTACAGTGTACCATATTTTACAATGGTGCCATATCATACAATGTACCATGGGACAATGTACCATATGATACTATACCATATGGTACAGGAACCCCAATGGAGGTAAGTCACTCTGACTTTTTTGGGTTATCCTAGGTTCTCCACACATGCTGCTATGTATGATAAACTATATAACTGTACACAAATAACCCACACATAGAAGAGAGGAGCTTATGATGTTTCGGTCCGGGGGAGTTTATACGAGACCTGGGAAGGTTATATGGGGCCCGGGGAAGTTATACGGGGCCTTTGGAGGTTATACGGGGCCTGTGGAGGTTACCAGGGCCCTGGGGATGTTACCCAGAGCCTGGGGAGGTTACCAGTGGCCTTGGGAGGTTTCAGAGGGCCTGGGAAAGTTATCCGAGGCCTGGGGAGGTTACCTGGGGCCTGGGGAAGTTACCATGGGCCTGGAGAGGTTTCCTGGGCTAAGCAACATAACCTCATCATAACTTAACCTAACTAAAAAATAACATTAAAAATAACTGATAAATAACTAATAACTGATAAATGACTAACTGAAAAATAACAAGGAGGGAGAGATACATGATTATATACACCTGGAAAATCCTAGAGGGGCTAGTTTACTTGGAGATACCTGGAGAGAATTCCGGGGATCAACGCCCCCACGGCCTGGTCTGTGACCAGGCCTAGCACCAAACTTGCATGTGAAAATCACTTCCTGTGAAAGCAAAAGACTCGGCAGACGATGCAACATACCCCCAATGAAAAGCAGGGGTGCCTCTAGCATGATAAGAGAGAACACAATAAGTGTCAGAGGCCCAAGACTGTTCAACTGCTTCCCAGTGTACGTCAGGGAGATTAGCAATAGATCCCTGGCTGTCTTCAAGCAGGCACTAAACAAGCACCTAAAGTCGGTACCTGACCAGCCGGACTGTGGTTTGTTGTATTATGTGCAGCTAGCAGTAACAGCCTGGATGATCAGGCCCTGATCCACCATGAGGCCTGGTCATAAACCGGGCTGCAGGGGCATTGACCCCCTGAACATTCCAGGTATACCAGATATGATCCATCACAATAAATTTTGATACAAGATTATTGTTGTCTTAAAGTTAGTCTGTGTGTCTACAACTACAGATGGCACCTAAAACATTGCACTTTGGTGCCATCTTCTATAAGGAAAATGATAGTGCTTGGAGTTAGTCACTACACTGCATTTGGGGTGCCACCTATACAGGGAGACAGCGCTGTATGACCCAGCTTTGATGGCACAAAGTTAATGAAAATGGCACTAGGTTGCCATCTATTGGAGGAAGAATAAACTGAATTAGTTAATTTTTTGCACAATAGATGGCCCTAAATATTACTAATGAAAATGGCACTTGGCTGCCATCTATTGTTGTAATTATTTACTAAATCTAGTTCAGTTTTTGTATAATAGATGGCACTGTAAGTTAATGAAAATGGGAAGATAAATGGTAGACTAAACTAAATTTTTTTTTAGTTCACGTTTTGCTCAATAGATGGCAAAAAAAAAATTAAAAAATGGGAAGATAAACTAGCGGAGACTAAACAAAATATTTTTAGTTTATTTTTTGCACAATAGATGGCGCTGAAAATTACTAATGGAGATGGCACTTGGCTGCCATCTATTGAGAGAATTATGAACTAAACTTTTAGTTCATTTTTTGCACAATAGATGGTACTGAAAATTAGTAATGAAAATGGCACTTGGATGCCATCTATTGTTGTAATTATTTACTAAATCTAGTTCAGTTTTTGTATAATAGATGGCACTAAGTTAATGAAAATGGGAAGATAAATGGTAGACTAAACTAAATTTTTTTTTAGTTCACGTTTTGCTCAATAGATGGCGAAAAAAAATAAAAAAATGGGAAGATAAACTAGCGGAGACTAAACAAAATATTTTTAGTTTATTTTTTGCACAATAGATGGCGCTGAAAATTACTAATGGAGATGGCACTTGGCTGCCATCTATTGAGAGAATTATGAACTAAACTTTTAGTTCATTTTTTGCACAATAGATGGTACTGAAAATTACTAATGAAAATGGCACTTGGCTGCCATCTATTGTTGTAATTATTTACTAAATCTAGTTCAGTTTTTGTATAATAGATGGCACTGTAAGTTAATGAAAATGGGAAGATAAATGGTAGACTAAACTAATTTTTTTTAGTTCACTTTTTGCTCAATAGATGGCGAAAAAAAAATTAAAAAATGGGAAGATAACCTAGCGGAGACTAAACAAAATATTTTTAGTTTATTTTTTGCACAATAGATGGCGCTGAAAATTACTAATGGAGATGGCACTTGGCTGCCACCTATTGAGAGAATTATGAACTAAACTTTTAGTTCATTTTTTGCACAATAGATGGTACTGAAAATTACTAATGAAAATGGCACTTGGATGCCATCTAGTGTGAGAATTATGAACTAAAAATATTTTATTCAGTCTCCCCTAATTAATCTTCCCATTTTCAATTTTTTTTTTTTGCCATCTGAGCAAAAAATGAACTAAAAAAATATTTAGTTTAGTCTACCCTTTATCTTCCCATTTTCATTAACTTAAAGTGCCATCTATTATGCAAAAACTGAACTAAATTTAGTAAATAATTACAAGTGCCATTTTCAATTCTTAGTGCCATCTATTGTGCAAAAAATTAACTAATTCTCCCTACAGTAGATGGCAGCCTGGTGCCATTTTCATTAACTTTTACTTTGATACCTATTGCAGCAAGTGATGCTAACTCGTTCTGTTACCGAGGGTGAAGCACAGAACCTACAGAAGTCATAGTGTTCCTGGGAAATGGGAGGCAATAATCATTATCAAAAAGAAGTGCTAAGCCACAAGGGCTATACAGCAATCATAACTAAGAGCTAAACCCATAAGGGTCAATGAGAGGCAGGCCAATTCAATCGAAGAGAGGATTATTACAATCAAGGGGGAGCACTAAACCTGTATTATTATTATTATAATCAAGGGGGAAGCGCTAAACCCGGAGGATTATACAGCGCCTGGGGGGGGATGTAGAAGGCATTCAGGCTTAATTCGGGGAACGAGCACAGATCCAATTCCCTAAATCAAGAGCCCCTCACCAACATCAAGGAACCTTCCTTGAGGGGACTAAACCTGTAGAATTATACAGCACACACAGGGGTGGAGGATTGAAGGTATTCAGGCTCAATTCAGGGAACTGGAGCACAGATCCAATTCCCTAAATCAAGAGCTCCTCACCAGTATCAAGGAACCTTCCCCTCAAGAAGGTTCCTTGATGTTTGGTGAGGGGCTCTTGATTTAGGGAATTGGATTTGTGCTCCAGTTCCCCGAATTAAGCCTGAATGCCTTCCACATCCCCCCTCAGGCGCTGTATAATCCTCTGGGTTTAGCGCTTCCCCCCTTGATTTAAATAATAATCAAGGAACCTTGCAAGGATCCAAGAGAAAATTTATTATAAAGAGGAAGTGCTAAACCCGTAGGATTATACAGTGCCTGGGGGGGGATGTGGAGGGCATTCAGGCTTAATTTGGGGAACTGGAGCACAGATCCAATTCCCTAAATCAAGAGCCCCTCACCAACATCAAGGAACCTTCCCTAAGGGGTCCGAGAGAGAAAAAAGTAATTCCTTGCATCAACTTAAGTAGATGCAGGAAAGTGGTTGAGAAAGAGACATGAGCAATATTATAATCAAGGGGGAAGCGCTAAACCCGTAGGATTATACAGCTCCTGGGGGGATGTGGAAGGTATTCAGGTTTAATTCAGGGAACTGGAGAACAGATCCAATTCCCTAGATCAAGAGCCCCTCACCAGCATCAAGGAACTTTCCTTGAGGGGAGAGACACGAGCAAATGTGAATATCTAGAAAATATTTGTTCTGGGACTATGATCCTCTCTAATAAACACAGGTTTGAGAACAACACATACTGGCAAGAGTGTAAGGTGATGACCTGACCAGTGATGTAGGAGACAGCATCAGGTAACCTTTGAAGTTGACTGACAATTACATCATGCAGTAGACAGGTCTTGGTTGAGTATCAGATGTGTCAGTGTTTTCCAGTGCTTTTGTCCAGTTGCAGCAACTGCAATTAATCAAGGTTCCAGGCATTTTCAGAATCTAAGGTTGTGTTTGATATAAGGACACAAGTGCAACTAATGCAACATTTTTATTGTAGCAACATTTCACTCTGCAGGAGCTTTAAGACATTACAAACAAGGACACAGAAAGTATAGGTATAGTGTGAGATGCAAAGCATAATACAATCATTGTAGGTAATAGCAGTAGTGGTAGTAATAGTACTACAACTACTACCACCACCTACAATGATTATATTATGCTTTGCACCTTACACTCTACTTATATATACTGTGTCCATGTATTGTTTGTAATGGGTTTGACAAAGCTCCTGGAGAGCAAAATGTTGCTACAGTAAAATGTCACATTAGTTGCACTTGTGTCCATTTATTTAATACAGTGGACCCCCGCATAGCGATTTTAATCCGTGCAAGAGGGCTCATTGTTATGCGAAATGATCGGTATGCGAATGAATTTTCCCCATAAGAAATAATGGAAATCAAATT